TCGGGTCGGGTCGGGTTCGGTTCGGGTTGAAGCGCTAACCCGAAAATTTTCAACCCGACCCGAACCGAAATTTCGGGGCGGGTTCGGGTTGGCCTATAACCCGACCCGACCCGTTCGGAGCACTAATCTACATCAATAAATTCTGCAAACTCTTTATAATCATTACTGTTATTATCATAGACTACATTATTATTACCTTCAATTATATTGAAAGCCTGATCAGGTACCGTACGTTGCATAGGAGTTGGTGGAATTCCGTTAATGAACATGTCTACCGAGATTATTTGCTTCGAAGAGACGGTAGTCTTAACCACTTGGTTAGAGGCACAAACTTTATTCGTGATCATGTCCGCAGAGCTTACTTGTTTCGAAGTGACGTCAGTTTTAAGTTCTCGTTTCGAAGGGACGGAAGTTTTAAGAGTTCGTTTCGAAGAGACGGCAGGTTTAAGTGCTCGTTTAGAGGAATGAATTTTCTTCGGTTTGTAAGTTCTGAAGGTGGGCAATAAATTTTTTTTGCGATACGAGTTCACCTTCTTTGTATAACTTTTGAGAAAAGCGTCTAGGTCTAGCGTTTTATTTTCCCATTCTTTCGATGCTATTTTGGATACTTCATGACTGTTGCCAGGGTGCATATTCTTTTCGTGTAAGACGTGGTTTATTAGTATACGTAACATCATAAACATGCCAATGTTTTTATATGTTCCATCTTCGTTTTCGAATGATAGCTCTTCTGGTTCGGGAGCTTTAATTTCGTAGCCAAGAATTTTGACCATCTGAAAACCAGTAACAGTGGAAAGGCAAAATTCATTATCGGTGATCTGTTATATTTATAAGATTTATATATATGAGGCAAAAAATTGTGTAAGATAATTACTGATAATCCATGTGACATAGCAATAAGTGTGTGATTGATGGGATTGACCTTTTTCAGTTTTGCGTACCAATTAACGTATTAAGTAAGCATGCTTTCTGTAAAGTTTGAAACAGTGGTTCTCCATGTTGAGGGGGCGTGTAATTTTCCCAGTATTTCCAAATAAATATTGGTCGTTGGTAAAAGCCGAGGACATTATAATACTTATTAAATTTTATTATGACCGAAAATATAAGATTATGATGGAAAAGAATAAAATCAAAATGGTAATATAAGATTTGGTGAAATTTAATTTTATGTGCGTAGGTAAGTTTAGTAGGTAAGTTTAGTAGGTAAGTTTAGTAGGTAAGTTTAGTAGGTAAGTTTAGTAGGTAAGTTTTGTAGGTAAGTTTTGTAGTTAAGTTTATTATATTTATAAAGTTTTCTGTTCATTCATTTAAGATTTTTATATATGACAAGGAATATTATTAATACAATGAAATATAACACGAAAAGAATATAATATGAGTATTTTGCTAATTGTGGACTTGCGAAGCACTGAAACTTCAGTCGGTCATTGTGTAATTGCATGTAAAAGGAAATATCAATCAATAAACGGAAAAATATTATTATATATAGTTATTAAAATTCCATCTATGGCGAATCTCATGATTGCCAAATATGTAAATTGAATTGATCTATTTAAGGGAATCTCAATAACAGCGAATCAGGATTTAGAATTTGCGTTTGAGTTTGAGCTATCGGCTTTTGCCGTAGATCCCGTAGATAACGGATCAACAGATCTTTCATCCCTGCAGATGCAAACATAGAAGTCTAACTGTATATTTTTCTTTGTAATTTATTTTAATAAAAAAGTTTGGTTATTATTAGCCATACAGCATAATTATGAACTATTTATGCTTATTAGTTTTTCTTCATTAATAATTATGGCGACATCACTTAATATTTAAAACATAACAAGCCAGTTCTGATATTAATTTTGATTCTACAATTTCTACAATTAGGAAATTACTTATAAACAGAAAAGTCTGATATATCCAGTAAATGACTAATTTCAACTGTTACTCTAGTTTTAAATTTTAGAGCTAAATTTGCTGCATTATTGAATGTAATTCTAAAAAAAATTAAATATATCATAGTATTACCTATAGAATGAAAATTTTAATTCCCATCATGTTCTTTCATTGTTGATTCTTATTTCATGGTAAAGTTCTGTATAATCATTAAATAATGATTCTAGATACAATACTAATATTTTCTATTCTAAACAATTTTAGTAATTTTGAACAAATTTCTCATATGCATAAAGCTATATAATTAACATTTATCTTAGACTACTGTTTGGAGTATACGCATATGAATTGGCTTGATATTCAAACCATAAACACTTTCAAAATAACTAAGGATTTTAACTATCTAAAAATTAAGGCAAACCTCAATTAATCCTAGTTCTGATGACATTATATAAGAACCATCTGTCTCAGGCTCCGAATAATAATTGAGCCTCTATAACAAGGCTGATCTAATTGAATAAAGTAATTTATTATGTAAAATGTAATATTGAAAAGAATATATTTTGAAATATGAACTCACAATTAGGTCTTAACAACAATTGCTGATGACTGCAATAATAGAACCTAAATTAGTGAAAATTAGTGAAAATATGTGATAAGAAAGAATAAAATTTATTTTACTTAATTCCCGAAACTTCATAAAATCAATCGATTAATCGAATGTTTATACTGCAGACACACAAGATATTCGGAGATTCCATTAATAAATTTGTAAGTGTATTTTTCAGATTCGAAACATAGAATAGAACGGAAGAAGGGATTTCATCTAGCAATATTTCCTTTTTTCATTATCATGTAACTTAATTTCATTGAGAAGCAGCACAATTAATTTTTAATAAATTAGGCGTTGAAACAATACATTCATGCGTTTAATCAATTCCTTTGAATATTTACTGAATTTATTGCCTGAATTAGAACTAATTAGGCAAGATTAGAATCAAATGATGTGAATTGTGCTTATTTAGACTAATAACTCCGCAAATCACATTACATCCAATTAATTTCTTCAAAACAAAACTTTGTTTAGATACGATTCACAATATTAGCATATGATTGATACTATATTTGTCATGCTGGATTTCAGTCCCTGTAGTTCGTAGAGCTGGGGTTCAGTGTGGTCGGCGATATTGCATAATGCATGAAATTAAAGTCTAATGTATAGTGTAAAGCATATAACCGGATAAACTAATATCCGATTGGTTATCTAGTAAAGAAAAACTGTCTAAGACGATTGCTTATTCAATAAACATTTTCATTTACTGTATATACTAAGGCTTTGTCTTGTGTTGTTGTCATTAGGTGTTAAGGTAGAAAGATCTATACAATACAGTACGTCAGTCGTCAAGTGAGTGAATTTCCTTAGTTGAATATATATTGTAAACTGTTACGACAAAAATCCACTTGGCTGTTTAATGCTTCTTTAGGAAATATAACGCTACTTTATACGTAATTGTGCACGGAGTCTAGACATTTTTGCAATAACGTGATGTGGCGCATAAATAATTAATCATTCGGAGAATATAAACTTTGATACTTCCGGATCATCCCTGCATAAAATCAAACTGCATGTCGAGAAAAAAATTAAAAACTGATATTTAAATTGGCCTTAGAACATTAAATGAAAATGCTAGAAATGTAATTTTACATATTACGTCAAGTATAGGTCTCTTTACACATTACAGCAAGGATAGATCAAAATCTATCAAGCGAGTCATATCACATTTATTGCACAAGTTTCTGCATTTACATTCACAGAAATCAAAAATATTTTAAAATATCAATATGAAAATGCTGTACAAATGTAAATAATTATTACATATGTATGTAAGCATACATTTACGTACGTACGTACGTACTTATACGTACAAGTGATACAAATCCAAAAAGAGAAACGAACTAATCGAAGGACGTATGTTTATTTTGGGTCTGCTTGACATGTGCGCAAAGCGAAGAACACGAAAATACAAGAAAACGAATGCTAAACCTACTTTGAGACATTAATGATTATTTATTCCTATATTTTCCAATTCGAATTCCACGTACTTGGCTTATTAGGCTCATATCTTAACAAATAGACTAATAATTATTCTACATCAAGGTAAACCTGAATTTGCTTATATCCGCGAGTAAAACTAGTTAGATAATTTTCAATATTTAATTAGAGTTAGTTTTAATTTAAGTCAGTTTTGGTCGCGTTCTTTATTTTTTGTCTCGTCGACATATCTGAAAAAATAAGAGAGAACCTACCCTCAAAAAGGAAATTTTGTATAAGATCAATCAAGTGCGTGAAGGTAAAAACAATAATTTTAAGAGAAATATCACTTGCTGCATATAAAATTTCATTATCGTCACTTTCATTTAGTAAGCCAAGGTCTAAACATTAGTTCAGCATTTTCTCTCACACGTGTCCAGATTCTATAGATTAAGTGGATACGGTGAAGCCCGCGTCAAAGGTGTGTTTACGTTTTGATGTGCCTCATTGAAATAGTATTTAGCTTAATTAAACATAGATCTACATCAAAAAAAAATGGATAACAAAAAACTTGGTTTCACCCTTCCGTATTATTTATGATGATGATTATTATTATTAGAGTTACGCTCTATATTGTTTTATACTAGTTATGATCTACGTTAATAAATTAACTAGCGTCACCAATCTAAAAAATTTCGCCACCTGGTCAAATAAAATTTTAAACTCAAGTGTAACATAAAATCAAAATAAAAATAAACCTCTAAGAAATTAGTAACGCTAGGGTCCTATACGTAATACTACACTTATCTACGTGTTTTAGCCAAATTACCACATTTTACTCGTATCACTAGCCGGACAAAATGGTTCAATGCCAAACAATACACAAACTGGGATTTTCTAATCTAAGGTTCCGGTGCTACCTAAAATTGAATCTTTTGACACGCATATAATATTATTAAGTAGCCATTGACGACCAGTATTAAATTTTTTGGCAATCTTAATCGGAAATTACCGAAAAACTTAACCAATCTAACTTCACCTTGTATTTTAAGTTTGTTCTTTTTTTCGCATTAGAAATCTTAGAAAAAGCATAGTCTTAATAAAATCTATTAGCTGATTACACGGCAATAAACTATACTTGAAAACATGAAAATAAAAATTTCAATTTAGAGTGTTAGTATTAGAGTCTGTCGGCATAGAAAATGTGAATACATACGTACAGGATTTACATATGTTTCCAGTTCTCTTTTTTCGAATGATCAAATTTTGTTTTGACGAGTATATATTTCGGAAACTAATTAAATAAAGACTTGAATCGTTTGTGCAACACAATCTGGGATTTTCTAATTGAGGGTCCAGGTGCGACTTAAAAAATTGATTTCGTTGATTCACTTATAATTTCACTATTTCCATCATATCAAGAACAAGACTTTTACAATAAAAATGTTGTTTACTATATTTAAAATTAAAGAATTTCTTCAAATCAAAATTATCCAATCAGATTTGAATTTTATTCCCGCGACTTTAGAAACTTTAAGCATTTATTCTTCTCCTTTTATCTTACATTTTTACAATTATAATTATACAATTGTAATTTACAAACAATTAATAAAGCTATACAGTATTTGACATAAGTACTTTTACAAAGAACAAATTAATACAAAATAAAAAAAATGAATGAAGATTTCATTGCAAGATATGCAAAAAGAACAATATCATCATACTACACCAGGTAGCATTATCAAGGATCACTCATAAGCATTTTTATCAATAAGTTCTTCAAAGAGAGACTTAATCTTTTCTTCTTCATTGACTGCATTAATATTGCCTTCATTTATGTCAAAATTTTGGTTATTTGTAGCTTGTTCGCCTAAAGTATATTGAATGCCATCGCCAACCATATTTTTATTACCCCTGATTATGTCGAAATCTCGTATAAATACGACTTGTTCGTCCAAGGTTGATGGATATCCATTAAACAAATTCGAAACCTGGATAGTATTGCTGACTGAAGCGATGTCAGTTGTTGTGGTTTTTTTTGTATTTTTCGCATTTTTTGGCTCAAAAGGTTTAACGTTAAGAGAAAAACATTTTTGGCGGCATAAATTCACTTGTTCAGTATATTCTTCAATAAATTCCTCGAACTTTTTATCTTTTCTTTCCCAATTGTGACGAGTTATATCGGTGAATTCCTTATTGCTATTCGGGAAACGGCCAACTTTACGTAAGTTGTACTCCACGAGTTTTTTAAATATTTTATATTTATCCAAATAAGAATACGTGTTCTTCTTGTTAGCCTTAAACATTGAAGATAATTGTTCAGGAATTGGAACTCCGAGACTTTGAAGTGTCAACATTTTGAACATTAAAGAAAATAAAAAATTATTTACGCTAAACTGTGATGCGATTTTATAACATTATAAAGAAGGTGGCACAAAGTGAGAATTACTTTACTAGTAATGTGTGTCACTCTCTTATAGCATTACGCATGAATTTAACCGCCACGTTTCAAAAGGCGGGGGTTGTTGACTTTAATTAAACGTGAGAACATTTATTTGAAAGCAATATGATTTTAGCAAAATAAGTATAGGTTAAAAGCAATATAATTCAATTTGAAAACTATGACTAAGAATGATTCTACATCTTGACATTGATGTAGTATTATTAATTACTTCAGGATATTAGTTTTATTTAGATAAAAAATTTAAATTTACAAGGTCAAAGAGGATAAAATTAAAATCAGATTGATTCGTGAAATTCAAATGAATTTATTTCGTGCAGTCGGCCACATATTTATAAAATTCTCATTCATTCTGATTTAAATTTTCCGTTAATTTAAAAGGTTTCGTTGAATATTCAATCTCCGGGACGCCAAAATGATAGCCCAATTTGTATAAATTCTGAAACAGATACACTGAATTTTAAACTGAGATTTATGTTGTGCAAGTTTAAAAAGGAAATGTTAAAAAGGCATACGTATGTACATTGGCGGAATATGAATTTCCAAATTTGATCATTATCAATAAGATAAAATAAAATCTTCTTTTTAAGGAAGGCAGAATGCAGAATGAAAAGTTGATAATATATACTTATTAGATTCATAACTTTTTTTGCCACAACTTTTGTGCCAGGTTTTTGTTGATCATTGTGGCGCAGGAAAAATTTTAATGTTAAGACTAGTGTTTATAATTAAGCTTAAGTGGTTGTATAGTAAAATCACACAAGAAAACTTTTGTTAGAGCATTAAAGTAGTTTTTTTTACACTGATTTTTGAGAAATAAGTGATTTTTGACAAAACGAACGTTGTTTGAAATTTTCCGATCGTGTTGCGTTACACCCAATTCTTGAGAATTGATTTGTGGATCAAACTACTCAGTATCTCCACAAAAATGTTGTAGAATGTGATTTTTTTTGTAGCGCAAACCAATCGGAGGTGTAGCGTAGCTAAAAATAGCTATAACTTAAAAATATGTATGCCTTTAGTGCACAAACTAAAAAATTTCCTTGATAATTTTACCAATATATCTACAAAAACCTAACCATAATATGTACGTATAAACGCTAACACTGACCTTAAACAAATTTTATGAATTTTTATCGGCACCACGTGACTGTACTGTGGATCAGCCACAATGATCTACAAAACGCCTCAACAGAGTTGCAATGGGAAAAGATCATTCAAATTATTTGGTTTTAAAAAGTTAGCAAGTAACAAAGCCTGTTATTATTCACAAATATAATTGATTATAAATAAACCTATTTCATTATCTAAGTCAAGTATTGATTCTATATAGCCTTTTTAATATTTATTGAAGCTTTCAAAGCATGTATGTGGAAATCAGCATCCCGAACCCGTACCCATGTCCAAGTATAGGCACAGACAAAGTCTCAGGTATAAACATGAGCACAGTCACAAAATTTAGCACTGAGACATGCATATAAAATTGAAATTTGTCGGCTGATTGATGTAGCTCTCCTAAATAAAGAAAATGAAAATGCAGGCTTGATCGTTTTACGAGAAAAAAAAGCAGCAACAGAAAACAGAAGTCTAAATCTATCCTGAGTATTAGTAAAAACTCTGGGAAGCAATTTACCATAATAATTGTTCTAATTTAACCTCAAACCAGCCCTATTTCTAATTCAATTCAGATAAGGAAAGTTGAAAGTGGGGAAATCATTTCATTGACAGTCATTTCACTGTCAAGTCATTTAACCACAATATTTAGGATGTTAAAAATCTTCAAAGTAATTAAGTGGCGAAATTTTCCAGAGAGAAAAAGCAATTTTTTGGGAAAATCTCTCAACATAAATTTTTTTTGATAGGTTACTTTTCACAAATAATGCTGTTATTCGAATATACAAAAATAATTTTACTAGGCTGAAAAGGTAATTGACGTAATAGACCTATTGTCATTTTGGAGGAAGTTAAGAAGAAGCTGCTACTAAAAGAAATGCTTAAGCTAAAAAGACTTTATAGGAAAAGGAAAGGAATTGTATTATTAAAAAATAGAAGTGTTATCTTAGTTTTAAATGTATCTACAATATTTTGAATTCTTTAATTAGTAATATGTAAATTCGTTGAGACAGTGTAGTACATTTTTACTGTCTAAAGGCTTTGACGATGTCCAACGTCCCAAAATGTCCAAGTGTCCAAAAGTGTCCAGAGCATGTCCAAGCTTTAATAATTAATAAATTTGGTTAAAAAATCTATGATTATATATATTTTTTTAAGTGCTAAACATATTTTACTTAGAAATTAATATAGGTTATCTTAATAAAATTTTGAGTAATTTTAATTTATTTAATTGT